ATATCTCTTGGGCCATTTGGAGAGGTGAAGGAAGACCCTCGGTTTTCATTAGAGAAATCGCCGTCGAGAACACGGTTCCCTCCAACAGGGTTTAGATATATACAAAGTAAGCATTGTTGTAATCGATCATTGTGACACAACACAAAGCGGATGATTGAAACCCCCCCTCCGAACTCTGTGATTCTGTCCACCTTTCCACCTGGCCTTGGCTTCGGGTGTTTAATAAACCATTATAATGATTTAACAGCTTAAGCTATGATCAACAAGTCTTTGTTATCATAATTAACCTACTGGTAATCTCATGACACGTATACACAAATAATATCAAACACTTTGTTAGTTTCAACCTTTTTCTTTCTTTCTGTGTGTATTGTTTGTTTGATTTAAATCAATCACATTGGCTGAAGCAATCGGTAGAACCTTCGCCGAAAAAGCCAAAATTCTTGGAGCTTTAGCCTTTTTTGGAACAAATCACAACCTTTTTCCTCAAAACTATAAATGCGCGCATCAAAGTCCCATTTTACGTTTCTACTTTTATTTTATACGTATACATCTTTCTTTGAAAATGGCATTGACTGAAATTGCAATTGAAACATATCATCGTGCTTTGGATAAACTTGTACCAATTCTTCAAAAGAGATCAAAACACTCTTACATTGGCGTAGCAGTTGTCTTGGTTGTGCTTGAACGCATCTACTCATTCTTTCGAGTACCAAAGAGCATTCGTCATATTCCTGCTGTTTCTTATTTTGCTATGGCCAAATCATTGTTAACTGCTGAAGCTCCATCATCTAGATATAAACGTATCGTTTTGCCTGTAGTCAAGAAGGGCAATGGATTATATGTGGTAAAGAATTACAGATTACCCCCCTATTAAAGTATTGATTTAACTTTATAATATAGAGTAAGTTGCCTTTGGAATGGACTGTACACGTTGCTACCCCAATGTCTGCCAAACATGTACTTCTTAAGTCAGGTAAGTTGATATGATGTACTTAAAGTTCGAAAAAGAAACTAATCTAAACAAACAAAAAGAAATATACCCTAAATCAGAAAGCTTCCTCAAGCTACTTGGCCCACAGAGCCCCGCTGTTTTGTTTTTGGGAGCTAGTAATGTTGGATTTGTGAACGGGCATATATGGAAAAATCAACGAAAGGTAGAGCAGATTATATATATATAATTTTGTTTAAAGAAACTAATATATATATATATATATAAACAGATTATGAATCCTGCCTTCCATCGCTCAATGCCTATTCAAACCATGGCCAGTGTCATGCCTGATTTTTTCTCGGCTATTGATAAACACGGAACCGACGGAACACCTATCTCCGCGGTAATGAGAGATTTTACCCTTGATGTCCTTGGTCACACTGCATTTGGTAAGCTTTCCTTTTTATATAAAGATATGTATGAAGCTCAACCGTTATAGGATTTGACTTTAAGGCCTTAAAGGGCGACCCTGATCATTGGACCAGAACCTATCATATCATCAACAATGCTCTATTCAATCCTACAGCAAACATGCTTACATCATTAAACCCCATCTTGTCGATTATTTCTCCCGAAAGAAGAAGAATCCTTGAAGCAATCAAAAAGCTGAATGGCATGTTGGAAGCCATGATTAAGCAAAAGCGCCAAGAAGTACAGAATAACGCACAAGCCAATATTCCTGAAAATGAAAAGGATTTGCTTACTTTGATGCTGGAAGCTCAACAGAGAGGAGAAGGATTAGCCACTGACGAAGAACTCAAACACAATGTCTCTGGATTTTTCCTGGCAGGACATGACACTACTTCTGAAACTCTTTCTTTCTACTTTTACAATATTGCAAAGAATAAGGATGCTCAACGTAAGCTAAGAGAAGAGCTTAGCACGATCCTGGGCGATAAACCAGTTGATGTTATTCCAACCCTCGAGCAGTTGAAGTCCATGGAGTATTTGAATTGCACTATCAAGGAGAATTTGCGTCTCAATGGTCCTGCTGACAATATCCTCCCAAGAATAGCGACTGAAGATATGGTTGTCGATGGTACTCCCATTCCAAAGGGAACAGTTGTCAATGTTGATATTCATGCTATTCATCATGATACACGCTACTGGCAGGATCCATACAAGTTTGTTCCCGAGCGATTTCTTCCAGGTGGTGAGCACGAGTCTCACTCGGGTATGACATGGTTGCCCTTTGGAAACGGAGCTCGTCAATGTCTTGGTATGAATTTCAGTTTGGCTGAACAGAGACTTGTGATTGCCATGACAGGTAAATCAAAACAAAAAACGTGTTTTTTGCTTTCAATCATACTAATCATTTGGGTGCTATTGTATATATAGTTCGAAAATACGATATCGAAATTCCCAAGGATTCGATTCATTATGATCATCCTATTTTAGAATCCTCAAGCACAAAGGCCCCTGCATCGCTCAAGCTAGTCTTTAGAAAGCGTTACTAACTTGATAAAAATATGACAATAAATAAAAATATTTATTATCTTCTTCTACACTTTGTTCGGAAACTATTCACACACTAATGAAAAAATGATAATTTCAGATAACAAATAATAATAAAAGAAAGCCCACAAGAAATAAAAGAATAAATAAAGAAATGATTAGCAAGCTATTTATAAAATGTTGGCCATACTATACAAGCCTCAGAAATATCAAGCTCATTTTATTATTACATGTTGCCTTTTAATAAAGAGATTGATAGCCAACTACAGTGTAATTAAGCTTATATTGTGTATAAATAATTTATCTTCTTCTATATTTATCTCTGCTATCGTCTCTTCTTCTATACTTGTCTCTGCTATCATCTCTTCTTCTATACCTATCTCTACTATCATCTCTTCTTCTATATTTGTCCCTGCTATCATCTCTTCTTCTCTCTCGGCTATAGCTTTTTCTTTTATTCCTGTCTCGACTATACTCTCTTTTCTTATCTCTATCTTCTGCTGACTTTTGTCTTTTATAGTCATCTCTGTCAAACACCATTTCATATTTACTAGTGTCGGCAGTATTTGCTTCCTCTCGGTATCTTGTTCGTTTCGTAAGATTTTCAAAACCTCCCATGGTATCTCTACCGGTACGCTGAAGGATCCAATCTTTATGAAGCTTAGACACGGATTGAGAGAAATCGACATGAATACGACGGTCATCAATCAACACGGACTGCATTTTGAAATAAGCCTAGTTATATATATATATATGAATTAGCCTACATCCTCCCTTTTTTTTCTATGTTTACCTCTTCTGCATCTTCTTTTCTTTCAAATTCTACGAATGCATAACTGAGCGAATCTCCCGTCACTCGATCGCGAATAATTTCACAGCTATGAATAGGTCCAAATCTTGAAAATATCAGTTCTAAGTCTTCGTCTCTTGTGATCGGGTTCAATTTACAAACAAACAACACGTTTTCAGGCGGCTTCACTTCAGCAAACGGCAGATCACCAATCATTTCCAGTGTCAATGCATGGGCCCTGGCTTCTCTTGCCCTGTTTGCCCTTTCAATTTCCTCTTCGTCTTCGCCTTCTTCCAGTTCCTCGTCCTCTGCGATCCGCATCGATTCCAATTGCTCCTTGGTAGGCATAGGTGATTTATCCGGAACCTGCAATCCTTCTGGATCAGGGAACGGATCATCCAAGATGACTGTATGCTTGATACGTATATCACGATAAGGTCTCCCTTGCTCATCGCAGTAGGCCTCATTGATCTTGTCTAGCGTTTCAAACCCTTCTGCTACTTCACCAAATAGAGTATATTTACCATCCAGATAATCCAAGTTTTCGCCTAGTGTAATAAAGAACTGGCTCCCACTCACGCCGCCACTCTCAACAGAGGCATCTGCTGCAACGGCCATAGAGACCATACCTCGCCTTGTGTGCTTTAATGAAGGATTGATCTCTGCTGGAAAGTAACGTTGACTGGGTCCGTTGAGTATACCGTAGATCGACTCGCCTTGATCGCCCTTTCCCGTAGGATCTCCTGTTTGAGCCATAAAGTCCTTTTGAACATTAAAGAATGGCGCAAAATTATAATACTTGATTTTACAAAGCTTCAAAAAGTTTAATGTCGTCTTTGGACATTCTTTTGTGAATAAATCAATGACAATGTCACCTAATGACGTCTCAATCAAGACAGACTATATAAAGCTAATATTAGTAGTCTTTATTTACTACTTGTATGTATACATGTGCATATTGGATACTTGCCATGCGTATATAAATGTGTGTATATATAAAAGAAAAAAAAACAAGTTAGTTTTGATAGTTTCGGAATCTTAAACGATTAACATCGAGACGCCCAATAAAAAAAGTGATACAGGTCAGTTTTCCCTCTTTTTTTTTATGCACAGCAATAATAAGAAGAGAGGAGCTGAAAGCAAGCGATTGACACAGAGTACCTTGTTTACCTTTTTTACTCAAAAGAAACAGAAAACGAAGAACAATGAGACAAAGGAAGAGGTTATTATTGAACAAGTAATCAAAGAAGAAGAAAAGGTAGAAGCAGTAGCAAAACCTTTGTCAATAGAAAAGGAAGAACCTAGTACACCTATAGAGCAAAGGTTTAGCAATTCTATATACACACAGGAATTTGATGATGTGGTTCAAACAGTACTCGATGGAGAAGATTATCTGCTTGATGAAAAAGAACTCGATTTATGCTGTAGATATGTTGGTTTGAAAGGTTTTTTTTTTGTAAAAGGATCAAGTGGATATACTTATATATATAAATAGATGATCCTAAACACTTGCTGGTCAGGTTATTAATAAGAAGACATAAATGGATCAAGCAGGATACGTTAGATTATTCATTAACAGATATGAATAAGGCTATTCAAGAATTAAATGAGATTGGATTTATAGAAACTGATCTGAAAGATATAGAAACAGCGTTACATGTCTTGACAAAGCCCGAACTGAGAAATATTGCAAAAGAAAGACATATTGCTATGCAAGAGACAGTAAAGATGACACACACATATATATTTATAACTCATGTGCGCATTTATATTTAGAGAAAGAATGGGTGTATAAAGGAGATAGTAAAGTACGCCTTGTCAGATCATATTAGTTATGGTAATTCACAACCTATTCATGAATCAAAAATGAAAAAGCTGTGGGATACTGTAAACAAGTATCTTGGTAAGATATACGCTCTCTCCAATTTTCTTTTTAGCCTCTTTATATTTACGTTCTTAAACAGGACCATGTTTACGTGTACGATCTGAGGTGTATGAGCTTTTTCAACGTCTACAGATTGTCTATTATCGAATCACTAGCCTGAATGATACAAACTATATCGCCAGTTCAATATTAGCCAAAACCAGTCGACGTAATTATCCTCAGTACACATGGTCTCGATCAAGCTCTATTTGGTCCTGTCGCGCTGATTTAGTAAAGTTTGAAGAGGCATTGCTAATAGAAAAGGAATTTGAAACAATGGTAAAAGATGTACCCAGAACAAGGGCAGTTGGTCAAAAAGATAGTGGTGGGGACATGCAGGCACTATTAGCTTCATGCTGGTCACTTTGTGAATCCAAGATGAGTGCTTGGGATGAGTGCATTTATTCAGAACAAACGAGCCAGAAGCCATATTATAAAAGACGATTTGAAGCAGGTAATTCATACATAGTGTGAAAATACGCATACTTTTTATTAATTGTTTCATATAGGTTGGATATATACCAGATTATTAGATCGAGGGACAGAGATATTGGCAAAGTTACATGAATATGAGCTAGAATCTCTTGTCTTACACAAACTACTAAGTCAGCGCGTGTATCGTCTGGGCAAGCGAGGCAAGTGGTACGAAAGACTTGCTTTGGTTCAAATGAACTATTTAGAAAGAAAAGACGCAAAGATCATGAGGGAACAAAAGAAGTGTGCATTACAAACATGCATTGACGCATTACATGACCCTCTTGTTCATCAAAGCAAGTAACAAAGTAAAAACAAGCAGCAGGCTAACTGACAAAGGATCTCCATATAGTATATATTCATGGGATACAGGAGCGTATAAAACGGTTAGAACGACAGCTTTCCATTCCGAAGAGAGAACAACATGACTTTTCCTATATGAGCCTAAGGAAGCCAAAGGAGATTACAGTTTATGGTATTGGTATTATGATTATTATTTTTCATTATCTGATGCATATTCTTTACAGGTGAACGTATATCAAACGATGATGTAAATAAAAAGTCTATATGGAGAACAAATAATGGAGCAGAGTGCTCAGTAGAAGAGGTTGCCCTAGAATATTATGCCAAAAAAGGCTTCAAAGGGTAAGGCCTCTCTTTGTGTTGTGTATATCCTTTTACAAACCTCATTTGTATAGACTGCATGCAGAGAATGGGATAATAAGGATGATTGTAAGTAATATATTTATATATTACAAAAAATAGTAACCAAGCGAATATAAAAGGCATCCCTGTTGTTTTGGGACGTTATATTTGCGCCTATTCCCGGTGTCTTTGAAACGCCTTATCAGACTGCACCATTGGATATACGGTCAGATGCATTTTATGAAAGTAAGAATAACTGAAATCAATGTATACAATGATGACTTAGATGAAAAAAAAAAAAAATGATAAATAGGTCGATTAGACATTATTCAAAAAAGATTAAATGTAATAGAGAATGGTGATTATTTAGACATCATAAAGACAGTTGATACCAGAGAAAGGCCTAGACAGACATTATGTATAGGTGTCAACTGGAATTATGAGCTAGAGGATATATTAGAGATAGCCGAGGTAAGAGAGAGAAAAAAAGAGAGAGGCTAATGCTTATTTAATGTTGTTATTTATATATCCAAAAAAGTGTATTGGCCCCTTGCCATTAGCCTCTCTATGTAAGCTGCTTTTTGAGGAATATGGACAGCGACAAAGCGGAATGCCAGATCTTTGGTAAATTCATACAAGATATTATAAAGACGAGTAATTTATGTTTTATGTATACAAGTTGCTGGAATTATGAAAAGAAGGAATGTCTATTTTCTGAAGGTTAATCGTTTATATCTTTTTTGGGATAAGCAATCTAAACATGATTTATAGTAAAAGGGCCTGGAGATACCTTATCTGAAACTCAAAAACTATGGATTGACACACTCACTAGTGTCGGTATTCAAGTTGAAGTGTGCTTTGTAAAACTATGGAAAGGCGAAGATGTATTTTTGGAGACATAGTAAAATTACAGGAGCTCCCTCATGATAAATAAACTATTTTTTGAGTTCTCATAAAGTAACTTTTTGTTTGCTCTCTCTTTGGTTTGTTAGCTCTCATATTTAACAAGGCTATTCCTGCATTTTTCATCAATATCGGGCCAACTTAACATTAATTTTATAGTATTAGTCTAACTTCTGGTGCATGTAGTGTTCGCCTTTATGAAACTATTACATATAATTTTTGATGCCGAACAAGAAACCACTACAATTACCAAAGGAGCCGCAGTGCTAACCCAAATCGCAGATACAGCACCTTATTATGAACAGCGGCTGTTAATGGGCGTAGCTCGCCCGTAAGCGTTTCTTTTTTTCTTTTGGATCCTTATTTATAGATTTTATTTTTAGGATGGAAGAGTTACCAAAAAAAAAAAAGCCGTGAAAAACAATCAGATAGGCAAAGCAGAACTGTAGAGCTCGTTTTTCCACCCTTTGTTGGCGAAAATTCTCTCAGACAATGACAGAAATATAGACTGAGATGGCCAGATATGGCCGCTTCTGAAAAAAGTCAAGGCAGGCCTGACGCAATAATCTCAGAAGTGACAAGCGGCAAAGCTGGTGCTTCTCTTAGATTTGGTGAATGCAAAACGTCCGGCAAGTGCAGCACTGCTTCGTTGTGTAAGGATGTAATAAAACTTACACAACTTACACAGCGAAGTATCAACATCAACAGCATCAAGTCGGTGTTCTGCTTCCAAATCCATGGTACATACACTATAGCCACGTAATATACCCTTGAAAAATACTAATTTTCACTTACTAGGATTTGGAATTGCTTTTTATATGAAGGTGTTTACACATTCACTTAACTTGCAAAGATGGAGTTCCCTCGCTCCCTGGAAGAGCTGCTGCAATTTGTATATATGAAGACAACTAGCCTACTTTTGCAAGTAGCAGTGTCTAAGGACAAAGATGGTTCAAGAAGTGGATCATAATGCCATAAGCTCTTTAATTCTCAGCAGTTACAGCCATGCCTGCCCTTGTCCTGCAAATTTTAAATAAATATGTACTTTTTTTAAACAAACAAATCAAAATACTTTTTTTTTGGAGGGCACTGTACAGCTTTTGTTACCTGAGATCAAATATCCAATAAACAAGTGAGTCACTCTGGACACCCCATTTCAGTATCAAAAGCCAACCGTCACAGGTAAGCCGCCCTACAAATGAATCCATCAAGACCAACCTAATTAAATCCCTTCCCTTTAATTATCACCGGTCTCACAAATGGTAAACATAGCATAGAATGCAATCATCCATCCATCCATCTGTCTATACGAGCTAGAAGACTGTTCAGTTAGTAAAGTTTGGTCGATTTAACAAGAGCAGCCAGTGAAAAGGGAAAAAAAGAGCAACAGTCCTTACTATTACGACTAATGTTAAAGCACAAGGGAGGAGGGGAAAGTACCATTTTGATCATTGATGCATTGAGAATTATGAAGACAACCTCTTTAATTTCAGACACTCACATACACATACTAGTTCAATAGATATATTAAGCAACACGATTATTAAACAGACAGATGGAGAGAGGAATTGGATAGATTTGCTCTCAATATTAAAAAAAAGTCCATGAACTAACAATGTATATTTTCCAGGCTGCCATTAAAGCACACGAACTCCGTAACAAGAACAAGGCTGAGCTTCTCAAGGTCCTTGACGAACAAAAGCAAGCTCTTGCTAACCTCCGTGTTCAAAAGGTTGCCGGTGGTAGAGCTCAAGAACTGTAAGTATATTGTGTAAATGATTTTACTGTAACTGACCCGTGTATATGCAGCGGTGAAGCTCGTAAGAACGTTGCTCGTGTCTTGACTGTCATCAACCAAACCCAACGTGAACAACTCCGTCTCTTCTATCAAAAGAAGAAGTACGTTCCTTTGGATCTCCGTGTCAAGAAGACCCGTGCTATGCGTAGAGCTTTGACTCCTTATGAAAAGTCCTTGAAGACTGTTCGTCAACAAAAGAAGTTGGCTCACTTCCCTCTTCGCAAGTACGCTGTCAAGGCTTAAGTTGCTCTTCTTTTGACAATAAAAGATTTTGTATAATACAGTTCTTTATTTTTTACTTCATTCAGGCGATTAAAAATACAAGCTTGCTTAAAGTATCTTTATTTACGTTTGCTATTACTAAACATATTAAAGACTAGAAATGCCATTGATAATTCCATTTGACATATTACAAGCCAAAGTCCCTGAGGCTAGTCAGGTGTTTAGTATATTGTCAATCACTCTCAGTTTAACACAGTTGTACTGGAAAGGCATGTTAATTGATGACCTACTAAGCATTGAAAATATCCATCATTACAGATTGGATCCTACTTTACACTTCAACACCAAATTCCATTCACCGTCACGACTCGCCTAATGCACCCCAAGTGCCATATCTAGAATCTCTCTTTTGTTTGCCAGTTCACAAATGTTACCAGATGAGTCCCATCTAGAATTTCTATAACTTCTTCCAAAATCTGCAGAGCTTCACCTGCACAACATAGGCAACCACAACAAAATAAGTATACCAATTCAAATAAGGAAAGGAAAGAGCTATCGTTTAAATTACTCTGCCGCGAGAATCGAATTTACAACCAAAAAAAATACCCGGTCAACACTACATGTACCAGAAAATAGACTAATGCTACGGGCGCTTCTTCTTCTAGGCACTACCTGTAAGACTGTCTAATAGAATGTCCTTTGACATAAAATAATTCATTACAAGTGCATATGATTGGTCAAACTGACAACATAAAACTAGAATAAATAATAGCAACATTTCTTTTTTATCTCTTTCTTCTTGAAAAGAAATAAACCAAAATAATGACTTTATAAAGTCATGTTTAGCTTGGACGCTACAGAATGAAAACCTCTGTTAGAGTACATCGTAGGTAGTGGATAAAGGTAACGCACCAAGAACTAGTCTAACTTCTGGTGTATTTTCTGATGCATGTAGTGTTTCCCAGAATACCCAGTAGTGTCAACGCCAAAATACCAAACTCATATAAGTTCCTTGAAAAGTCAAAATTACATTACTATTGAGTATGCAAGGAAATTCCCAGGCCATGAACGCAAACTAAAAAGAACAGACCTACTGAGCTATATGGCGCACTGTTTAAGGGAAAGGTCCTTGTGTGATAAAACCTTCGTTTCATCCGCCTGTTTGGCATCGGATAGTCTTACTTCAAGGGATATAAATGAGGATACTGATTTACTAACCGAATGAACGAGGGTAAATGGAAACACACAAAGTATAGTAAATTTATGAATGGGTGCCATGTTGATTCTGATATTTAACCTTTTCTTCAGGTATAATATCTTATATGAGTGCAGCAGAACAGAATGGTTGCCTCGTAGCTCTAGATTTTACAGGATTATCAACCGATGTCAATGACTTGCATTTCTTTATCAAGTAATTTACATTATGTGAAAGCAAAACTTCTTCAATAATGCTTACAATATGTTTTCCATTAGCAAACATGAAAAACTAAAAGCGATAGTAATTGATAACTTGCCTTCTAACCATACACTCTATGTTTTTCAACGACAAGCAGTTCTGAACAGCCCTTTAGTCTTATCCCCCTTCAATTGTGGGTCAAAGCCTATACAAAGACCCAATGATACCTTTTTTGGTATCTGGTGACATTGAACACTACCTGCATGCATGTGCAAGTTTCAATGATTTATTACATTATTATTATTTTATATCGCATATTTATCAACATTTAAATAGTATAGATATCCCAAATTATTCTTGAAATAAACGACATCTTGTCTTATCTTCAGATCACAATAACTTCTTCTATTTTATCTTATATCTTAAGCAGCAATTGCTTAACATCTTCCTTATTTCACTTTTTACTTTATTTCACGACTTAGCATTATACTGTTCTATATTGACCTTATATTAAGATCTGGTGGTCACTATAATACCAAATTCTACTTATAAAACTTATTTTTAACCTTACTACTAACACTTTTTTCCAGCAACACAGTTTAAATGGGTTATATCTTTACTTTCTTACTATACCTTTTATTATGTATCTTTTTTTCTACTGTTTCTTAATCAATTTTAACAAGAATTCTAAACATATAAAGCAATTGTTTAACAAAGTTACTTCCAATAGCATTACATTCACCACGCAATGCTTGGTTGGATGAAGACTTGTACACCTTGAAAATAAAAGGTTCGAAATGAACTCTAGCAAGCAGAAATAAAACTGGTTTTTTAGGATCGGTCTCATAGCATACATCAAAGAATCCAAAATCATCAACCTTTTTCGAGAACCTTATACTCTTTTCTAAAAACATACGGCACTTTTTTTTTTTTTTTGCGACATCATTTTGGTAAAAGGTGTGCGTACGCATAATTTAACTCTTTTTCTGATGTGAGAAAATCTTTTTTTATTTTTAAAAAAAGTGTATATAAACAGCCCCTTTTTTGTTGTTGCGTCGTATACAAAGAATGAACACGTTTATCGGTTGGCTATATTAAAAATAGTAAGTAAAAAAAAATCAAGACAAACAAAACAATCAACTTACACTTGGCAACACGTTCAAGTTCATCCTTCTTCTTGATAGCATAAGAGTTGGCAGAACCCTTGGCAGCGTTGATCAATTCGTCAGCAAGGCATTCAGCAATGGTCTTGATGTTACGGAAAGCAGCTTCACGAGCACCAATGGTCAACAAGGAGATAGCTTGGTTGACACGACGGAGAGGAGAAACATCAACAGCTTGACGACGGACGGTACCTTGAGAACCGATACGGGTGGAGTCTTCACGAGGACCACAGTTGATGATGGCATCAACGAGGATTTGAAGAGGGTTGGCATCGGTCAACAAGTGAATGATCTCGAAAGCATGTTGAACAATACGGGCAGCCATGAGCTTCTTACCGTTGTTGCGACCATGCATCATCAAGGAGTTGGTCAAACGTTCAACAATGGGGCACTATTGAAATGTAAGTCACATGTCAAACATGATCATTTCAATCTTACCTGAGCCTTACGGAAACGCTTGACAGCGAAACGGCCGGCAGTGTGAGGCAAGAAGACGTGTTGACGGATTTGAATGTAATCTTGAAGGGAGATGTCCTTAACTTCAACGTCTTCATAAGACCATTTGTTGAACAATTTACGAGTACCATCGGCGGTGGCGCTAACGTTAGCGGGTAAACCTAAAGCAGGCATGATGGTCTATCATATCATATAGTGTTTTGTTGAATAAATGGATGGATGGATGGATGATGATTTGAAGGATAAATGTAATAAATTGATTGAAATATCAATAAAGAAGATGGATTGATGAGAATAGATAGTAAAATAGGTTAGTGAGGACGTTCTTTTGGATGGATGGATAGCCTATGAGTCAGTATTTACCTATTATTTACGAGAAAAGAGGAGGATTCCTTCGATCCACTTCTTGCGGATGGCTTTCCATTCAACAGGGTACACAAATCAAACTCAGACATCTGAATTCGAAATGCTTGTTCCTCTGTGTCTAACACCTGGAATCATAATATAACGCTAATTGTATTATAAACACGTATTGCCATGCTAGTGAATCGATTCATTTAATATCAATATAGAATAGACAGACAGTATAATGTATTATGCAAATAAACACTCTAGTAAAACCCTTAAAGTCTTTGTACACACACATCTTTTTTTCGTTTTAGTATAAAACCAAGCAAAGACGAAACTATATTAGATGATGAGCCATCTAGTAGACATACATGATGTAGCGTAGACATAACATAGATTCTGAACAGCAACTTCTAATTTTATCTTCAAAGAAGAGAGAGAGACATTAGTTTAAGAAAATCGCTGTAACTGTCTTTTCTATTTGCCAAAGAAAAAGAAAGAAAAAAGCCCTGTTGGCTCATGCCTTATCCTTTCCTTTTACTACGCATAATTTTGATACTAAAGAATGCATATATATTCGTATGTAATATATGTTATATTTTGCGTGAGCGTACCTCAAGTAAGCTGATTTTGTATACATTATATATATATATATATACATTTAAACAGTAAGAATCCAGCTGATGACTGCAATGCTTTGTTGCCATTTATTTGAATTCTTTGTACAATAAAAAATAATGGGTTTTTTTTTCTTTACATCTTCATTGGCTGTGGCTGATTTGGTTCTTTCTCGAGTTCAGCACTACAAGAGAGTAATATTAAGATCTAGCAACAGACAAGAATCAAATAAAAAGTTACCGTAATTGCTTTGAGAAAGCATCATCAATATCATCGTCATCCCAATTATCTTCCCAAAAGTGAGCATCACTTTGATCCTCTTCATCCTCACCCCAATCTAAGGTTTATTATGTCAATTATATAAATAAATGTTGTAATAATTGCATTGCACAAACCTTCTGTAACAAATTCTTCAAATTCATCGTCTTCTTCAAGCACACCAAGGGCAGCAAGGTTTTTTTCTTCGGTTATGCTCTTTTGCTTGTCTTGGTTTTGTGTAGTTGCCATATTTAATGTGAAAGGAGAAGAGAGTAAAGAAACGCGTAACCTCAGCAGAGCATTAGAGGTGTCGTAAGCCAATGGGGTGCACTTTAGTTAAGTGGTGACGTATTATAAAATATTGCGGTTTTTGAATTTATATTGTGTTGATGTGCCAAGCTTGTATGAGTGTCTTACAAAATAAGGGGATATAAAGTCCAGAATGATCGAGACAGAGCGGTTTTCTTTTTTTTTTTTCAGTCATACAAGCAGAACTTGATTTACTGATACACATCACTATGATGTCTTTATTGCTATCAGTTAAGAGTTTCACTTGGAGATGCTAATTAGTGCTTTCTGCGCATAGTGTTACACTTACTAGTTTATGTTATCGATTCTAATCAGCTACTAAAACACACAGCTGCTATAATTTGAAGAGGAGATGTAGATATTTTGAAGACAAATAAAAAGGGGACACATACTATCCATACCGCTTCAATACATCTACAAAAGATTTCTTTATGCAAGAGAGGATGTTACACTATGATTTAATTACTACAGAAAAAAAGGCACAAACAGTGGCTAGTTTACACTCGGCATAATTTACCCTCAAAGTACCGCGCATTCATGCAGGATTATAGCTGACGTGTGCCTGGGCTAAAACAAGTAAAGGAATACAAAATACCGTAGCTGAAACAGGGAAATGCACATGTATATATTATATTTGTCTTTTTCTTTATCGGCCATGGCTTGCAAATAAAGCCTTGTCTTTCAACTTTATATTCCGTTTTTCCATAGCTTGAATATTACCGTAATAAATGCTGATGTACGCTATTTCCAGAAAGTATCATCGTTCCAAGAAGTCGTACTTTATATATTCTGTATTATAATTTTCGAATGATGCGATATTACCTTAGAAAACACTGTAGAAAAAACTGTAGTTTTAACTCATTATAAGCACAATCACATGACAAAGGACGCCACATTGTCGTGGCAACTTCTTCAAGATGCTCTATAATTCATACCGGAAACTGTCGCCGTTTTCTGGAACTGATTGAACCGCGCCACATAAATACGCATAAGCTCAGCCCCGGATTGGGTTAACTGCGGTATCAAGTTATTTCCGCTTGCTCTGTGTGGAGCGGAGATAAGGCCTACTGTCTCACAATGTCCCAAAACTCAGGCCATTGAGCAATTGAAATTGAAATCCGAAAGCCGGTCCAAAACTATAAATTTGTATTTTTTTTTTCTGACGCTTTTTTCTTACCAAAAAAAAAAAAAAAATTAATGTTTCGAAAAGCAAAGAAGCTTTCACAACGTCTTGGACTCAAAAAGGAAAATTGTACAAATCAAGAGAGAAAAAGAGGAGAGAATCTACCGTCTATATTGAAATCAGAAAATAGCAGTATGACTGGAAGCACAACAGCTAGTTTGGAATCCATGAGTTCTCAAAGCACAACGAACGAAAGTACAGAGATCAAATTGACAAGACCAAACCTATCAAAGTCATATACGACTCCTACCTGTCCACCGACCGAACGAAAGGAGCGTCGATCGATTGCTGCAGATACAAATGATCTTGAGCTGTTACTGTCAATGGAAACACAGGCTAGATTAGACGCATTAGCGGAACGAGAAAAGCAAAAAAAGCAAGACGACGCAGTGCCATTCAGTCGTCCTACGACCATCAAGTTTGAACTCCCTGTCACACCACCTCGTTCTAGATCACCTAACCAACGGTTGACTTACCCAAGAGCACGACCCACGCGATCTCTTCCCGAGGAAGGACTGACGGCAAACGCAAAACGAAAAAAGAGATCAAGTTGGCGGTATCTGTTTGGAGATCGAAGTGATGATGATGAAGAAGTGACACCTTATGTGACCATGGATGCTCGTGTGAGACTGAAGCTAAGACCTTTACCGACTTTTGGATATGTTAGATTCATCGGCGGCGTTGAATTTGGAAAAGGAGAATGGGTTGGAGTGGAATTAGACCACGGTGGTAAATTATTTATTGATTTTCACGGCCCCCCGCACATTTACTCACACACACATTATAGTTGGCAATTGCGATGGTAGCGTGAATGGACACAGATACTTTACGACAGATCCTCGTCGTGGTATCTTTTGTAAACGTCATGATCTGGAAGCAGTGGCAGAATAATGGCTTATTCTCTTCATAATCCCATATACCCCCTTTTTTTGTCTTATATTATAGTAATAGTTGTAACAATAGTAATAGTAATAATAATAATGTAATAATCACCTTGACTTTGATCACAAACATATTTATTAAAATGAATAAAACCCTTTATATGTGTACAGAATAAATTTGCCCTATTTGAGTTGGTACATCCTTTCATCTTTGACAGATATGTGATCGACTATTCTAAAATGAACAACCATTTTCTCTTTTTTCATTTGACACATGTTCACATTTCTATGCTCCTGATTATTTTTATCCAAGGATAGCCTTGTCTTTCAGTTTAATATGACCTGTATGTACCTCGCTTTCCCGAAACAAAAGCCTATTTACTTTCTCTACATATCTTTTCCAAACAGGTATTAATTAAAAGTCGCTTTTCTATAAAAAAGAAACCCCTGAGATATGGATTATGAATCATAATTTCCAAAATTACCGATTGTCCCTCCACTTCCGAACTCCGGTGTAAGCTTTATTCCCGGTAACTTTTCAAAAAAAAAAAGGACATTGGTGTTCATTAGCTGATAATTGTAACATTCAAATGTGTTACTTGTTAAATCTAGCACACCAGACGGGATGTTTGTCTTTTTTAACTGCTGCTGCTATCAATAAGAAACTTTTATATATCTTGTTTTGTTATTTCTTCCAATTATACATGAACTATGGCCATTTTCTCTGGAGGCTGGATTGACTTTTAATATTTTGTCAAAGTGTAATAGAATCCTCTCTTTAGACTAAGCAAGCATGTGTGATGCAGGGGGTCGCCACATCCACATTTCGTCATTCTCAAGGGCTGCTTGATTGTTTGACCACAAATGACACCTCTCACTATGATAGAGTAACTCATTCTGAGTTTTTATTTTTTTTGGTGATCACTCATTGTAACAAAGTATCTCTATTTCTTCCTTCCTTATTCTGTAAAGTATCCCTGATATTGAATATGTTTGATAGTTCGCTTTTTACTCTCTCTTTCTTTCCTTTTACATCATATCATGACCTATCAAAAGTAATAATGATTGAATAATAATAGCATTCTTCTGTGTATATACAAAGGTAGAGTTATTTTTATTAAAGGTGGCAGCGTACGCTGTCATGCTATGGACAGAAAGATATTTTGATATCTTGTTGTGGTGGCGAATTAGGTGGTGAATTGGGTGGTGAAGCGGATTGACCCAGTTGCTGTCGAAGCTGATTATTTTCTTCTTGCATTGCGCGAATATAGTCAATCGCATATCGCAGCACTTTGGCTCGATGACATTTTGGACCTCCGTTCTCTGCTGAACGTGGCACTAACGTTGACAGTTCATTCACTAATGTATTCTGTTTACAAAAATAATCAGCATACAGACAGCTATTAAAATAATTTCCCGTACCAAATTATCTCTTCTTCTTCGTTCTACTCGATTATGTGTCTCTCTTCGTTGTCTGATTCTACTCATGGCCGTATCACTATCGACGCTCACTTTATTTAAAATATTGACGCCATGCAAGACAAGCTTATTCGGTTGCTTTTCTAGTTCATGCAGTTTCTTGGCCATGCTATCAGGGCTATAAATTTTTATTCGTTCTTGTATTGGATAAGAAGCTCTTCTTTCTGATATAGACATCTTTTGTGTTGTAAGTGAATGCATGACCAAATAAAGAAAAAAGAGAGAATAAAGAAAAAGTGAGATTTTATACTAAAATATGCCACAGATCAAATTGAGATTACGGTGTGGCAAGGGTCAATAGAAATTACCGCAAAATTCCCTCAGGCACGCCCTGATACTTGTACTACCCCCTTCTTTTTTTCTTCAATGTTCCAATAGCAAAATATGAGCTATTATTGTTATTATCTCAATTTGCCTCTTTATTTTCTGTTTGTCTCTTATGATTAGCCAATCATGTCATCTCATTAATTGGCTCATCCCTCCAACGTTGGAGAATATTTCTATTTACAGCATTTGTGTGTATGTGAATAAAATATGATGCAGGGTCACTCAACTGCTCGACTTAACGGGAAACTAAAGATGGGGTAAAAAAAGAAGATAGACCAAAGTTTTGATATCTTTTATATACTATGCATTGGCTTACGTTATCATAATAGTAACTTTTAACGGTCATTGAGCTTGGCAGTAAAACTTTATGAGAGAAACTGCTTGCTCATATTTTCAAAAAGCAGGGGATTACCAGGCTTCTTTTGCACGTGCATGATTTGTCTATTCATTGTTTGTCCTAATAATAAAATATGACATAACAAATTACGGCTATTTTACAAGTTGACTTTGTCCTTTGTTTTAACAAAGTTTATGTCGATAAACCTCATTTACTCTTTAAGTTATCAAATTGAACTCCTTTATCGTACACTAAAGACACTGCTGATCAGAATCTCAGTTGGGTGTCAATGCTCAACTGGAAGTAGACCATCGTGTCTTAAATTTGCAAAAATGACAAGCTTCGATGTCACTCAAGATACATTTGCTCCCAGTAGTACTATTCACCTATTTTCAAAGGGGAGATTTGCTTAGGGCAGCCATATGTTTGAACTACAGCAATGAAACAGAAAGAACTGCTCAGCTTTACCAAAGTTGACACGAAAAAGTTTTTATATAAACAATATTTTATTATTAAAAAAGTCCTTCTTTAAATAAATGACAGCTATTATTTCATGTATAGCTTAATTACTATACATGAATGTGATCAGGTGTCAATGTATTCTTGTAGGATAAAAAAGGATGCGCCTATATAAAGTAATCAGTAAAAAGAAGCTTTTATGATAATAATAATTATAAGCCATTCAGGGTGTCAAGTTGAATCATTATGTGTTCATGTGAAGAAATTCAACAAAATAAATTTTGCTAAAAACATCATCATGGCTTTATAAATATTGTTTGTTTACTTACCCTTTTGAAACTTGAAGGAATAAAAAAGAAGAGGGCCTGTTATTTATTTAAAAAAAAAAGCTTGTCAAAAATTTTTTTCCATAGTCACGGGCGGATACTCAATAAGGGAGTTTTTTGTCATGCTTGATAAATGAGTCTTTGCTTATAGGGAAACAAGTCGTTTAAAGTAGAGGAGAAAGAAGGGAGAGGAAGAAAGTCTTGTTATTAGTCAAAAGAAAAAAACTCATTTTATTAAAAGAGTTCAAGATGGGTGCAGTCAACAAATAACTACAAGAAAAGAAACTGCTTCGTATTTGTTTGTTTGGCTTCAGCTGCTTTACTTTCCTCCCTTTTCTCTTTTACATCCATAAAAAAAAACATAAATCATATCCAGCTTGCCACAGTCTTTAAGCTTTTTTTTTTCTTTCGTGACGATCGGACCGGACTTGACGTTTGGAAGAGGGGGGTGTCCCTAAGACTCTAGGCAGCTGCATTGCACAAGAAAGGGAGAGAAAGAGAGAGAATATGCAAATTTCTTTTAGGTATATTTCCGCTTTCTTTCCTCTTCTTTTCTTCTTTTGTATTTTTATTTATTTTTTTTTTATGTCGGAAATACTACAAACCTCATCCATTCCACTTCATAATCAACAAGCAATAAAAGCAAAACGATTGACAAAGACACGAAACTATGAAATATATATCGGAAATACTATCTTCTTTTGTGGTGGAAGATTATTGATGAGTAGAGCATTTTGGGCTTTCAGTATATCTATTGTTCTATTATTAGCACCTTCTATCCTATTTTTCATATTTACGTAAGAGACAACATATATACAAGAATAATGCGGGATGATTCATGCTTTAGTTAACAGATGCCCTTGGTTATGGCATAACATGTCACCGGCAGTGCCCATCGTGTTTGCATATCTGTTTGTTCTCGCTCTTGCCTCCATGCTAAAAACCTCGTGGACAGACCCTGGTGTAAGCTAATCTGTACATACATCATACGATACACACACAGGAAAAAAGTAACACCTCTCTCTCTCTCTTTTCATAGATTTTACCTAGAAACCTAGACAAGATAGCACAACCAGAGAATCAATCAAGAGAGGATACCTATGGTTATCCATACTCTTCCATGTCAGACTATAGCATATTGCCTTCACCTAAAGAAGTTATGATCAAGGGCATGCTCGTACGATTAAAATATTGCGAAACATGCTGTATCTATAGACCACCAAGAGCAAGCCATTGTAGACAATGTAATAATTGTGTAGGCAGGTAACAATGAACCCCCCTTATTGTCTTACAGTGAACTGAACGGAAAACATGCTGATTGTATATAAAACAGAAAACGAGGACCATCACTGTATTTGGTTAAATAACTGTGTTGGCAAGAGAAACTACAAGAGCTTCTTTACATTCGTTATTTGTTGCTTCTTGCTTTGCTGTCTTGCTGCTGCATTTTCACTGTACCAGGTCATTTTTACAGCACTAGACATTGGATCATTTCAAATTGCCTTACAAAGGGAACCTATCAGTTTTGCCGTCGCCTTATTCTGCCTTATTTTGCTCCTTCCTGTCTCTTGCCTCACTGGGTATCACTGTTTCCTGGTGATGAGAGGTGTAACGACACACGAGCAGGTAATGAGATAGTCTTTTTCTAATTTGAGAGATGTAGCTCATTGTTGTATTCTTTTACCATTTTAGTTAAGATCAAATCTGGCTGCAAACCCATTTGAAGAACACCCCTTCGATTTTGGCAACCCCTTCTCCAACATGATTCATGTGCTTTGTAGACCTCGAAATAAAAGGTATGTTTATAAATGTCTTAAAAATATACTCATGTTTTTTTTTTTTTAGTTATATTGGAAGACGTAAATTCGTAGAAGAAGTCTATGAGATTGATACGTCAAATTTAAACAATCCCCTTACATCATCACCACACTAATACGAGGTCACACACTCCTCTTTCTCTCCTCTTTTTTTTTTTTTTTATTTCCTTTTTTATGACTCCTTATATTTTACCTATAGAACCTTCAGCTAAAGGGTCGCTACAGACTGAGCTATTAATATTGAATAAACTATTGGATGGTGTACGGATTATTGCATACAGCATCTATTGTGTATATATTTATCTTCTTTATATATAGGACATATTAGAACTCTCGGCGCGTCTTTTGGATTACAATGCAGCTAAAGCGTTTGTGTTATCGCCGTTCAGCCCTATCACACTATACTCACTATTTTACTTTTCTTTAGTAATAACAAACTAGAGACCAGTACTACACCACCCCCATCACAACCGCCAGAAAGACAGGCTGATTTGACAGATAGATTGCTCGAAAAATGTGAGGATTTTGAAACCGTCTGTAATCACATTCAACTTATACTTGAACAAACAAAACAAATACTTGTATTGCAACAACAACAACAAGAAAAACAAAAGCAAACCCAACAACAGCAACAACAACAACAACAACAACAACAACAGCAGCAGCAGCAACAGCAGCAACAACAACAACAACAATCAACAGAAAAATCGAGTAGCCTAGATCAAGAAATGGACTATACCTTACAAAGTGATGACTTTAACACAGCACCTAATAACATGGAGGAAGACGAGGACATGGAAGAGTTATTACAGATACAAAGAGATCGTCTAGACAGACTACGAAAAGTCATCCTCTTGGGCATGGATGCCGATGCAGCTAAGGCTAATTCAGATAATAAAGAAGATTTATTGTTTTGAGAGAACACGTCGTCGTATAAACTGAACAGAAGGAGAAATGAGCTTTTCTGCGACCATAGGTGTCATAGCAGCTGAGGCAGCTAAACGAACAGGAAGTAATGCCTACTGTTGATGAGTTCCCAATGCTTTTACATTTGTTTTTTAATTACCTTGACAATACAATATGTCGTCACAAGATGAATCATGACCTTATTATCAGGTTCAAGTTGCTCATATCCGTAACGCACCCTTACTTTATTAATAAACTTGTTGCCTTCTTCGACAAGAGAACTTGAAAAGGGTATTGCGATGGAAGATGCATCAAGTGCATAGTAGATGACAGGAAAAGGTGCAATGGCAGTGAGTTCATGAAGCACAGCAAATGCTGTCATGTAAGATCCTGGCTTACTCTTGAACTGTTGAGCATATTTTCGATAGCCAGTTAACTGTGTACTATAATGTCTTATAGTAAACAGTGGCTGCTTGACACGATGCAACATTATCTTACAAAAAAAGAAAAAAAAAAAAAAGAAAGAGGGGACGTTTCAACCACACGCACAGATGATAATTGTAATATTTGTAATAGTCGACAAACATCGCCCAAAGGGGGCAGTAAGAGTCTATCAGTTCGTAATGCCTCCCCAAGCTCGGAAAGCAAAAGTTCAGCTGTGCGTTTATTGAAATACTACTGTACATAATGTATAAATGCTTTTTTTTTTAATGGTCTTCAGTTAAAGTATCATAGAAAGTCCTTTTCACAGCTGATTTGTATTCTTCAAACTGTCCTTTAAGATTTTTTAATTCTTCTTGACTTTCAATCAACATTTGTAGTAATTTCTTTTCAAGTTCGGTCGTAGGCTCCACTTTTTCCAAGTCCAACACGTCCTTTTCTTCTTCTTTTTCTTCTTCTTCCTCAAAGTCTTCGTCATCATCAAATGCAAATAATAAGGGATCATCTTCCAGCACAGGCTGTAGATACTGATCATCACTCAAGAACGACTCTTTTTTATCAAATGAAGTATTTGTATAACCAGCATTTTCTTTTACCTAAGTTTCCTTGACATCATCAGTTGATAAATTCAACACGTATTCATGCATACACTTACTTGTTGTCGAATATAGTTGATCAGACGGATGCATTGATAAAAATCCAATTCAAGTCTTTTCCTTGTCTCTTGGAAATCAAATCCGTGTACTGATTTCATATGTTCAAACACTGCTTTTGTTGATGGCAACACGTCTTTGCAGTACAAGCACTGGACTTGCTCTTCTTCTTCTTCATGCCAGTCGTCCCAAGAGTGTTCTATAAACAATTATTTGACTGAGTTGCCGTGTAAAAGAGAGCAACAGGCACACAAACCTTGTGGATCGTATTCTTCATAATGTAAATCGCCCATCTTGTCAAAGTTTAAGAAAGAAGAAAGAAAAAAAAGAGCGGTCACAAACACGCCCCCCTTCTCTTTCTTCATTTGAGCCACACGTCAATATAAATACGCGCCGCGTCCCTTAAAAAAAGATACACACACGCGCGCTTCTCTCTCTCTTTTTTTTTGTTGTGTGTTCAAAATGACTGCTAGATATAGTGAAACAACAATTGCTAATTTGTATGGCCTCAATTCCAGTGATCGTGAAGTTATTCAAGAGAGTAAAGTGCTCTTTGGTTATCATTCTGTCTTTAACTAATCATGTGTAGTTGGCTCCATTTGTCAAATATTCTCCATGACACCAGAGCAAGTTAAATTCAAATGGGAAGCGTTTGCCTTGAATGCCAACATCTCTTTAACACCTTCTGTTGGTTATATAAGATTATTAAAGAATAATCTACAAAGAGAATTTAACAGAACACTTAAAAAGAGACGAACAGGAGGAGTCAGTACGAACGAGCGTATCGTGACAAAGAGAGCAGTCATGCCCGTTGATCTATCAGCATATGGTCTCGACTTTACGACTACACATGATGATCTTGATACGACCACAAATGTATCTACTGTCCAAGACTCAGATATAAAACTGTAAAAAAAAAAAAAAATGTTATAAGAAATGCACATATTGATCTTTTATGTATAGGTCACCAGAAACACATCGATTCTTGAATAGATCCGAACCATATCATCTGGACGGACAACATAATGGACAGCTCGTACGTCGTGGAATCGTAATTGATGATCATCCTCAGATCTCGCTCAAGTATTTGCAAAAGCCGATCGAACCTTACCGCTACATGTTTGAAAAGATCCGCGAAAGGGCCGATGAGTCGAATGATAGGCTTGATTATATGGGAGAGATGTTATCAAGCTATTATCAAAAGACATTTTCAAATCCTGTTCGACAGAATCAAGAAACCATCTTTGCATTCGGTCGTATTTGCTCAGATACAAACGAGGGTAAATTGAACGAGCAATCGGTATTATTAGAGACGTCAAAAGAACTGGGCATGGGCAAAAGAGTCAGATTGGACATTGGACGTTTGCAGGACTATGCCTTGTTTCCTGGTCAGGTTGTGGCTGTACAAGGTATCAATCATCATGGACACTCATTTAAAGTTGAAAGCGTTTATATGGCAAGTATTTTTAATTTTTTTCGACAAATGGGGGTAACTTATGACGTTATTAGCCACCTGTACCTCCAAAGATCGACTCATCTAAATTAGAGTTTGTCAATAACGAAGGAAAGCCTCTCGAAATGATCACAGCGGCCGGACCTTTCACATTAGACGGGGACTTATCCTTTAAGCCCTTGGAGGCACTCGTTCAAAAGTGTATAGAAGACAGACCAGATATTGTATTGTTGATGGGGCCGTTTATACCAGCAACACATCCAATGATTGCCCGTGGAAAGATATCAACATCACCCGAGGATCTTTTTCGACAGCAGATTGAAGTACGACTGAAGAACCTTTTAGATACATGTAGTAATACACAGATATTACTGATGCCACATGCAGACGATATGACACACACCTATCCATTGTTTCCTCAACCTCCTTTCAAGAACTTGCAGCATGATCCACGTATTAAACTGTTGAGCAATCCTTCTAATATCAGTATCAACGGACATGTTTTTTCTATCGCAAATATCGATATATTGTTTCGATTAGCTAGACAAGAAGTATACAAGTAAAATACACTTTTGTACAAGATTATACATATGTATTTACGCTTTTTGATAGATCTTCAGCCCCCGCAGACCGATTTAGTCGACTTTTACTACACTTATTTCAACAGCACACTTATTATCCACTTGTGCCTACTGCAGAAGAAGATAGTATCGACTCATCACGATTGGTCGACATACAGATATCATGGAAACCAGACATTTTGATCATTCCCTCACAGTTTAAACATTTTGTCAAGGTAATAACGATGATAATTAAACGAAATGATGATTCATGAGTATTATAGAATGTGGAACAAGTTGTCTGTATCAATCCTGGACACTTGACAAAGCATCAATCTGCTGGCAGCTATGCACGAGTGATTTTATATCCAACGGATGACATAAATGAACGTGTTCGCGTAGATTTATTCAAGTTGTAAAAAAATATAAACTTTAATAAGCCTTTATCGAACTATTGTTTGTGTCGGTCATTGTGAGATGAATGACGATATCACCCACTGGGTCAATATCGATATGTTGAATTGCTTCCTGTAGTTCATCCATGGTTTGATAGAACCAGTCTACTTGGCTATCGTCCATTCCACCATAAGGCTTTGCATTGGTTAAAATATCCAAGACGTTATTGTTATTTGTGGTATCTGTTACAACATCTGACTTTAACTGTATTTGTTGGAGTAGCTGCTGATATCGATCGACTCGTTCCTGCAGATCTGTTTCTTGAAGTGGGTCTGTTTGTGTGTTTGATATATCAATCAAATTTCTATTGTAAAAAGTAAGAACAAGTGTATGTGTATTTTAGTTGATATTGAACTTACTGTGTGGTCTTGTCAATGACATTGTTCCAAAATTCTTGTTCCTTTTGCACATCGATAGTTTCGCAGGTTTGGTAGTTAACTCGACTATGTTATTTATGAATATATAATCATCATTGTTTGGTTTTTTTTTTACTTGTCATTGGTGAGATGTTCATTAAGCAAAGGAGCATTAATGTCATCCTATAAGCTCAAGTTCAATATACATCGTATATACTAGTATAGCTTTATTACTTCGTCTTGGTCTACTTTGCTACTGCAACAGCCCATATGTTGCTTTACCAAAAATAAATATATAAAATAGAGAAGGAGAAAAAAAAAACAAAAACAAAAAAAGGCAAAATAATGCCGACGAGCAACGTCATATGCAATTTCTTGTAATTTCTGTTGCTCTTTTTTTTTTTGGTTGTTGTCGTTGTCGTTGTCTTTCTTTCTTTCTTTCAACAATGGTATCAACAAGGTATCAGCAGAGACAAGAAAAGAGTAAAAACAAAGAAGAAGAATCCATGTTGGTAGAGGATCCTCCTTTACTGACAATATCACGTTCAAAGGATTCCTTGGAAGAACAAAATGAAGTTGCTGTTAGATTAGACGCCTTTTTAGAACAATTAGACGAGTAATGAATAGATCTATTTGAGAATTACTGTTTTTTGTTTTGTTCAAACTTTTGATTAGTTATGAATGTTCTACTTTGGATGCTCTTGTTGCTCGTTGGCCGTCATTATATAAACGTCTGAAAGGCATGAAACCTCATTTACCTCCTAAAAAGGATGATACACGCCCTACCTTAGGTGAGAACATATTTGAGGGGGAAAAAAAAAGTTCTTTACATTAAATTTCAATACAGTTCTTGACTTGGATGAAACGTTACTACATACCTATCGAGGCGAAGTCGTTTCAAAACAAGTGGACTATGTTATTTATGCACAGGACGGACATAGTTGCTTACTTGCAGGGACCTTAAGACCAGGCGTACTTGATTTCTTAAACTGGGCTGCAAGTTATTTTGAAGTGGTCGTTTGGACTGCAGGAACTGAAGATTATGCAGCCATGGCTCGTAGTTGTCTTGATCCTGAAAACAAGCTTATTACGTAAGATTTGGTTTTAGTATGAATATAAAGACTAAAATCTCGATTATAGACACATGTTAACTAGGAAGTCATGTATTCGAATGAGATCAGCATCAACAAAGGAGGTGCTCTATATCAAAGATCTTTGTGCTCTCGGTCGTGACTTGTCTAAAACCTTCCTCATAGACAACACACCTCATGCTGCAACTTTAAACTTGAGCAATTTGATTCCAATCGAGTCATTTGTAGGCAACAGGTCAGATACTGAATTAATAGAGTTGAAGAAATTTCTGGAAGCAAATCTCGTTCGATTGATAGATAAAAAGCATGACATGAGAATTATCTTACATCGACAGTTTAACTTGAAGCGAAGAATACGTGAACGTATTACTCATTGGAGACGAGAACAGCAATCAAGACAACAATAATCATATAAAATCTTTGTAAATATATCCATTCATTATGCACATAAATAAATAATAGAGTATACATCGCTTTACTAGTCAAAGATGCTACGTTTCAACATTAACAAAAATGCTTACATGCTTTAATGATTGGCCTTGGGACTTATTGATGGTCATAGCGAAGCATAGTTTTACAGGAAATTGTTTCCTGGTGAGCATAAATGGCATATTACCTTCTAGGGTCGACAGAGTAAATCGTGGGATGAGCTCTATTGGAGCATCAGGTTTGTTGGCCAGGCGAACCCTAAGCATATACTGACCAATATGCATTACGATTAGCCTCGTTCCGTTACAAAGGCCTCTTTCTAGGTCAATGTTTCGTAAAAACATGACCGATGCACCGACCTTTAGCTCTAGCTGTGAAAGAGGCAGGCCGGAGGGGCTAAGATTTTGAAGATACGCTGCAGGGATGGTATGCAGGCCATCAGCATCGTTGATATCAGCAGAATCAGTTGACAAAAGCGTAACCTTCTCACCAGGCATCTTTTCGAGCACAGCCACATTGATGGTATCCACCGTATCATTACGACTGGCTAAGATTGCCCTTTCACCAAAGTACACTTGACTGTTCAAATTAGGTCTTCGAATAACTTCATCTCTATATATTCTACTGATGAATTCAGCTAATTGAGTGGTCTGGTGAAGGAAGGAAGGAAGGACGATATTGCCTTGAAGGCTACTGTTGTAGGACATGTCTGCCAAAAATCTTGCAAATGCAGTGTCATTTTCATTCAAAAAACTTGTTAGGCGCGTATTCTGGGTGAGCCTCAAGAGATGAAGCCTTGGCCATAAGAATGATTGTCTAATGGAAGCACTGACGGTGTCAGCCCTGTTACCCCTTCGGACCACTGGTGGGATTTGGGCAAAATGACCACCAAGAACATGTTTTCCTCCAAACAAATACGACTCATCAGGATCATCGCAGATGTCTTGAAAGGTGCGATAAACAGCTTTAAAGCAATACTTGTGCTGCATCGGCACCTCATCCCAAATGATTAGCTTGGCTCGTATAAATATAGTGTTATTAGAATGATGATGTGTTATATAATGTAAGTATATATAAGTATTTTTCGTTTAAATTTATTATATAAAAAATTATGGCAATATGCCGAGATGCTCACAAAGGAGCGATGCCTGCAAACACACATGGTGTGTTGTAGTGAGCAAAAGCTCGTTCCGTCCTTCTCAAGGGGATCGCCAAAGATCTCTCCTTTCTATATTTTATGTTAGACACATATCACCTTTTTATAGAGAGAGAAACTTACCGTTATGCACAAAGAGAAAAAAAAAGAGAAGAAAAAGTTCTCTTTTATAGCTTTATCGGAATACGAAAAATGTAAAAGTGGCTTTTGGACAACATTTTATTTCAATACAATTTATACAATTCTAGGAGCAAGTGAAACAGCCTTCATCCAATTCTTTGTCCTTAGTTCAGCAGCAACAACACCTAATATACGAGTGCCTAAAGGTTCTTTCTTTTGGTTTAATAAAATACAAGCATTATCATCAAAACGAATCGTGCGTCCGTCAGGTCGTGTCATTTCTTTCTTTGTACGAACAACAAGTGCATGTCGAACATCACCTTTCTTTACTTTTTGTGTTGCTGCCTGAGTTCCTACAATACTTGGGTTGATGGGTCTAGCACGTTTGACGACGCACACAATTTCATCTCCTAATGTTGATCATTAGTCTTTTGTTTTTCATTTGTCTTCTTCTTTACCTGCTCTGGCGAAACGTGCACCGTTCATGACTCGAATACATTCTGCAATAATAGCTCCAGAGTTGTCAATGACATTTAATGTTCCCTTTAATCCAATCATCCTTTTTTTACTGTAAACAATTAAAAGAAAACAGTCCTTATTTCTTCTCTCTCACCCAGGGTAAATAATGCACCTACGTATATTCCCCCAGAATTAGATATCGTGACGGCTAATACTTGAAAAATAAAATACATTACCTTTTGTAAGGTACAGGTTGACAAATATTACACACAGATGGAAACTTTCTAATTTCCTTGATCTTGTTGACCTCTTGATAAAGCAGCTGGTTGAAAGCGAATGTTGAAATTGGAACGTATACATTCAACTAGTACACTTCTAATGTTGGTTGCTGTGTTTACATCTCGTTGCCAACATTTATAAAAATACAGATTAGATACTCAATAAGTCAACCCAAGAAATGAAAAACTTACCAGATCATTATTTCCATTCACTGAACACTGATTACACAGCTTCAGCGGATGGAAAATACTGTTTTGACGTACAACTCTACTTTCTGGACATCGACTACTCCAATGAAGAATACGGCCTTCTTCATCAAGACACTTTCTTCTAGACCCATTTTCAGCACCGTTTATTCTTTGTTTTTTTTTGTTATGGTCGAAGGTGTTTAGTTCAGGAGTCACATTGTTCATTCGTCTTTGGCAGTGACAGCATGTGACAGAGGTCCGGAATTCATCCATAGTAAACACAATCGCTTTTTGGGCTATTGCTATTTGAACTTGCTTTACTGGAACAGGGATATTACCCCTGTAGGTACCACGAATACTTGCATCATCATATGCGACTATAGTTCTTCTTGTATCTTCATTTTTCTGCAACTCGTCTTGTTCTCGTATCCAAAGTAGAAGGGATCAAAGTCAGTAAGGCGAAAGAAATTGCCGGTAGGAATCATAAATCTCGAAACTGTATGACCGTTTTGATGTGCCCTTTGAAAGAGAGTATACAGAGTTGGTATTCCACTGAGTGGCACATGTACCATTGAGTGAGTAGTCTGAGGTAGTAAGCTCCATAACTTGATTGGTGCATCTGGAAGCGAAGAAGCTGCTTGCAGCAAGCGATAGCTCAAACGAATAAACTTGAGGGGATGATTAGTAGCATAACCGTAATCGTTGATAGTATTATAAATAATCCCTCGAAATTCAGATTCACTTATTAGACATATTTGATTGTATAATTGATTTAAATTGCCAAAATTTTGTACTTCAATGTTCTCTTCTTACTCTTCTTCAAACACAATTTCATCAAACAGAGTATGATTTATGATTCGTTGACAGCCTTTCTTTTTTGCTAAAAAAGAAAACAAAGTAAATGAATGAGTGTCAGCATGATCACACTAGAGAAACTTTTTATCTAAAGACATAATTGGCAATCTAATTTGCCGTTGCTGTAGCTGTTGTTGTTGTTGAAGAAAGTAACCTTTGAATATACGTATCATCCATAGCTTTGTATTCAAGAAATGCATAGTGACATCTGGAAAACAGGATATTTACAGCATTTAAGTAATCTTATTTTTTTAAAGTTGGAAGAGAGGTACTTACTTTGAACAATAGCGCTTCCGTAAGCGCTTGATAAATTTCTATGTAATAGATCCAAGGTAGGAATTGCATATCTGTAAGTATCGAGCCCTGATTCCCTTCTTGATGCTTCGAAATTGTTAAAATTGTTTAGAATATGTGGGCTAAAATGCTGCGATCAAACGTGTTAGTTTTACCATGACAGATAGTCGTTTTGTACTTACTATAGCTGCATTCAAATTGTTAGGGCCAAGTGCTACTTTTCTATACAGATGATTCCAGAATGCTTCATTGGTTATTTTTGGTTAGCCTTGAGTTTGAAGGTTAAAATCAACCAAGCGAATTTGTTGAGTAATTACTTCGGATTGTTGAAATAATCGAGCAAGTTGATTTTCCATTGAATTTATTCTTCTTATTAGTATATCCATGTTCATACATTCTCTTGCTGCTTCATTGGTGTTCAAAGTACTCTGGCTTTGTTGCTCGATTGGTTGCACTATTCTTAATTGATTTTCTGCTGCTGTAATTCGTTCGCGTGTCACCGTCAATATTTGTATTTGTTCCAAACGCGCTTCTTCAGTTAAATCATTTTGCCTTAATACATTTTGCACTGTTGGTAAAGTTTGGAGAATGATTTGATGTAATTCACGAAGATTTGCTATCACACGTAGATTTTGAATAATTTGTCTTTCTAATGGGTTCAGTCGTTCAAGGCGCTCTGGTAACTGATTTTGCAAGTCTAATTTCCACTGTCTGATCCTCAGCAAAATGTTTGCTACTGTTCTCCTGACTAATGTAATTATTGGTTCAATGTTTCCATTGATTTCAATCAGACGGTTATGCAGTATTTGTATGTTTTCGATGTCCTGATTTGCTATTTCTTGGTGATGTGTAGTAGTCATGATTTCATTGACGACAGTATTTAGTTGTTCAAAGTTTTTCTGCAATTGCATTAATTGATCCATCAAAAGAGTAGATTCATTTTGCCAAGGGAGATCTTGCAATCCGTCTTGGGCATCATTTATGTCGTTAAACATTTGCTGTAGATCAAGCAATTCATCTTGTAATTCTTGTGCAAGCCGTAAATCATGGTTGAGTTGCCGTAATCTCCGTTGTATATCACCCAAATTTCTCGTATAGGTAGCTACAAGTTCAACTTGCTGAGTGTTGAGATATCAAATTATGATTAAAAGTGCAAATTTGATTGCATCCCGTCGAAGAACAGAGAACTCTTCAGATATCAATCGGAAATAACTCTAATGCGTGCATACAAATAAATTTAGTATTAGATATTGTTGTAAGTCAATTTAACAAACATACCTTGTAAGGAGTGAATTCTCGTCTGAGAAGAGGGCCGAGTTTGCATTTTCTAATGTAATACGAGGCCCGAGCCTCTGGAGGTAAAGATGGAGCTAAAGATGGTGATGGAGGAGGAGAAGGATCAGGCATCTTTTTCTTGTTGTTGTCGAAGGACCGACTTCTGATATAGCCTTTCGTTTTCTTGTAACTCGCGTAAATTTATCTTACTAGGTCAATGTATATCAACTCTTACTCTGAGGTTCCCGAAAAAATTACTGTACCCATCTCTGAGTGGAGAAAAAATGTTGATGATAGCTTGGCAAAGTATGGTGTTCAGTGGGTTAGCCCACATTATATTAAAGAGCCTGTCGAGAGAACCGACAAGGAAAGCAGCTCTGGGCCTAACAAGCGTAGAAAACGAACAGTACCCTATGTTTGGTATACAGAGTTTAAGTGCCATAGATTTGGTACTTGCCGTGATAAGGTCGCCTTAGGCGTTCGAGTAAAGGGCAGCTCTAAATTTTGTCACTTTGAGAAACTTGAATGTCCGCAACTAAAAAATAATTTTATTAGTCTTTTCAAAAAGCAAGGTCGCATTTTTGCAATTTTTATAATACAATTTATACGAAAAAGCGACAAGTCAGCGCGATATCTCTTTCTAGAAGTAGTGTATTTCGTTTAAAGAGATCGCATTCCAACGCGACAGAAATTTGTGCAGCTTTATGAAGTAACACGCCTAGCGATACGTAAGCACGCAGAATTAATAACAAAATATTTTCCTTCCCATTCCTTCTACAGCAATCGTAAAGCTGATAATAAGTTACTTGCAAGTAATGAGTCTATAGTCTTATCCAAATACCTTAATGTAGTTACAGAACATAAAAAAGCACGTTCTAGTATAAAATGAAATGCATTTCTAGAAGGAAGCTGGATCTCTCGCCTTTGTAAGTTGTACATCACGGCCTTGTATCGCTGTTCCCTCGCTGCACGGGTATCTCATTTAATCAAAAACTATTCGGGGGACATTATCTTTGCATATGTCTGGGGATAGTAACTACTTGACAGGCATCATCTCTGCATATGTCTGGAGCAGTGGCGATTTCAGGTTAAATGAGTGAATGCCAGAACTTCTAGAAATAAAGACTACTAATTACTGGCCTATGTAGGACTTCAAGAACTCACTCTTAGATTCGCCATATCATGCAGGCCAGATCTGTGTTGCTCTTTTCTATCTGGTTGGTGGTTAAGCCAATAGCATCAACAACCATCGAAAACTATACTGGTATGCAATAGTCTCTGCTTTATCATTAGTGGTATGATCTTTTATACAAAATTCATTTCTTGAATATGGTCTCATGTATTTGTGTTTTAATAGAGAATAGTAATTCAAAACTTTGAAATAATCAAGCTGATGATTGATATTGCCAAAGAGGACGATTTGATTTTCCTTTCTTCTACCTTGACTCCTAATACAACTTATCGAGAAGATTCACCATTGTCGGTAAGCTCATGTTCGATATTATCACTGTCATCTCAAAATTGGGAAACCGAGGAGAGAAAAATCAGAATACTGCAAAAAATTGATGCTGCTATTACTGATTTTACTGAAAACAATGAATATGTATCTTATTCTTTGATGTAGTATACGAATTTATGAAGTATCATCATAATTACACGAGAGCTAAGTGATCTTGGTTGTTCCCACCCTCCTCTCCCTGTTTTCTTCTCGGTTTGTCTCTTTGTTTGTTATATTCTCACTCAAGAAGATAAAGGATCAAAAAAAAAAAGCTCTTTATATTACTGTATTTTATTTTACGTTGTACAATTCGAACTAATAAAGAAAAGAATGATTACAACAACAACCAAGATCACAAAGCTCGAAGTGTAATTGGCAGGATATTGTTTATCTTCAGAATTAACAAACTTTTGCATAATTTTTTTTAATTTTATCGAGTAAACGCTGTTATACACTGTTATATTTTTATTGTTCAACCTATTAAATACTTAGTATAATTAATTTTTTTTCTCAGTTTGTCCACAAAAATGCTTGTTATTTTCTATAATGTATTCAACAAACTGCTTTCGTTGCTCCTTGGTACGTATCCTCAGAAGTTTCGAGCTGTTATCCTAGGCTGGATACGAGTGACTGTAAACTCCAGCTTTCAGTTACATGGTGGTAAGCTGTGGATTCATTGACTGATAAGCCATTGAAAGAAACATAAAGCCGCCAATCATTTCCGGATTACAACTGAAGAAAATAGATTGGGCCACGCAGCAATTTGGAAAGTTTTATTTTTAATATGTGCTGTATTAATCAGGTGTCCCTTTGACAGAACGATAACGGATGTCGTATCCAACTTTCACAGTCTTCTTCTCTGATATATACCGATGCATTGCGAATGCGTTCGCTGGCCTTCGTGTTTTGTCTGACTGAGGCAGGATCATTGTTTACAACATTTTTTAACGGACCGGAACTCCTCGATTGGATTTAAAAATGGAGAATATGGTGGTAAAAAGAAAAGTTGATATCCTCGTTGTTCAACCCAATCTCGAACAAGGCTAGCCTTGTGAGCGGATGCGTTATTAACATCAAGTACTTGTAATTCATACCAACTGCATCAATTTTAGTGAGAACTTGCTCTATGAATTCTAGAAAGTCGTTACTAGTTGTACCTTTTCTTTTTACAGCTGGCGTATCATCAGTTCGTTTCCGCTTTCCTGCTGCTGCTGTAGTAATAACCTCCTTTCTTGAAGAGTATGACAACTACGCGCTTATCAAGTTCATGAATATTATGCTTGATATCATGGATCTTAATGGAGATCTAAAAGGGAGCTATTTGGTGTACCTACTTTGCATAAATCAATTTTGAAGTTATAAAATAAATATCATTTTTAGGTCAATTTGATTTAACTTATTGCGATATTTCTCTTACTTTAAAAGGACAAAACTTCTTTGACATGAAGGGATAATCATTTTCGGCTTATTGTCATTCATTTTTTGTAAAGTGATATTTATTTTTTAGTTGCAGACATTCACTGTAAAATAAACGCGTGCTTTAAAATGCTGGGACATAAATCGCAAAGAATAGTCACACAGCTGTCACTTTTGCCTCCTTTTTTTTGTTTTTGTTTTTGTTTTTTCTTTTTCTATGCCTAAATTCAGTCTTATTGTTGCAGCTACCGAAGAACTTGGAATTGGGTATTTGAATAACTTGCCATGGCGTCTTCCCAAAGACATGGCATTTTTTAAGCAAGTGACAACAAAGATACCCAAGAGTGTAGTAAACAAAGAGAATGTTCAAAATGCAGTCATCATGGGACGTGTCACTTGGGAATCTATTCCATCCAAATTTCGTCCTTTGGAAAATCGATTGAACATTGTGATATCAAGAAATCCTTCCTATGATCTGTAAAGGAAAAAAAAATAACGCATCAAGAAAATACGTCCTTTCTCTACTTATACGTATATATTATAGACAACTGGCCAATGATAATCAAAATGTCATTCTAGTCAGTTCCTTTGAGGAGGCATTGGAGAGAATTGACGAAACCAAGAATCCACGCGTGTTTGTGATTGGAGGGGCACAAATGTATAGGATGGCTATCCACAACCCAGAATGCGATAGCATTATACTGACAAGAATCAAAACTCAAGTGAACTGCGATACATTCTTCCCAGAGATTAACATAAAGAACTATCGCTTAGCAGAACATAAAGAACTAGAAGAGTATGTTGAAGGAACTGTGCCTGAGGGTGTTCAAGATCATAAAGACATGAAATATGAATTCACGTTTTATAAAAGAAGATCATTTTAAAGTAGCAATCACATCGCCTACAGAACGTAATAAATAAGGCACAAACTGTGTAAAGAAATAGAGTGTGATAGTAACCGCGAGAGGAGGTCCAGCATATTCCAATAACCAAGTCAATGTAGAGGGTCGAACCTTGTTTACCATATTTTTTACTTGTATCTCAAGCTGCTTTAAATCTGTCGAGTTATCAATCACAATATCTGCCTTTTCTACCTTTTCTGACATGGGCATCTGTGCCTTGATACGCTGCATAGCTTGTTCATCTGTTATGTTGTCTCTTTTTTTTAATCGTTGCAGTTGCAAATTATCTGAGCTATAATATATGAGAGAGAGATTAGTATATGTGTATACCTTTTATATAAGATATATATGTACCAGTATACAACCACTGTATAACTCATAAATTTATCCAGCTTGCTTTCAATCAGTAAAGGCACATCAAATACCACAAGGTCTGCACCTCTTAGCCAATATTTAAACGCTTGTTTTAGCATTTCTAATCGGACATAAGGATGTGTACATTTGTTTAATATCTTGCGTTTTTCAGGATCTTGAAAGATGATTTGGCCCAGTTTGGGTCGATCAATACGACCATCACTCAAAAAAACTTGATCTCCAAAATGCTGACGAATGAGTGTATTTGACTTTGTTCCAGGTTCAACGACGTCTCGTGCAATCTTGTCTGCATCAATAATGGGTATACCTTGTTCTGCTAATAGTCGAGAGACGGTTGACTTGCCTGTATTCACTCTGTTAGTTAACCTCCATCTATATATGTATATAATATATATATATATATACCTGTGGATATTCCGCCTGTTAAGCCTACAAGTTTCATTTTAAAGAACCAAAAAAAAAGAAAGAAAGAAAAAGAAAAGAGATATGCATTCATTGTACAACCACGTATTGGCGCGTGATAGCCATTGAAACTGACTGTCTAATAAGACTATATCATTATAAACAGAGCAGCATGTTTAATCAATCTTTGATATTAACGATAAACCCTTTGCTTGGGAAACTAATTTTCACCTCATATAGTGTACTTCAATAACCACGCAGTAATAATAACTGTACATCAAAGTGACGCGTCCTCTATACTCCGACTATATAATGCGTTTCTTTTTCTTTTTTCTCTTCTTTTTTTTCAATAATAATGAGTGAAAATACGTCTGAAGTCGATCAAGTACAGTTGAATAAAGAGTCGATGAAAAGAAAGAAACGACAATGATACTTACTTTTTACATTTTCTCAGATTCGACTTAAGCGTTTAGCAAAGCTTCAACAGCAACAGCAACAACAACAGCAACAACAGCAGCAACAGCAACAGCAACAACCACTCAAGGCAACTTCATCCTTAAACAAGCCTGTCTTGCCAACTTTAGAAGAAACTACACCTATTAAAAAGCCTACTCCTAAAAAAACAGTTATTTCACCTACATCCATCACAAAAGTCGAGGTAAGGGAAATCTACCATTTGTGTTGCAGTAGTGACTCATTGATTACTATAGAAACCAACATCATCTGTAAATACAACAACAGCCCCAGCCAAACCAGCCAAAAGCTTTGAAGACTGGCAAAATGATGTAATTGCTCGAATATTGCAAGTGACATTGAAGGTTCGATTGTCAAATAGAGAAAAACCAGCACACAAGTGAATTAATCTTGTATATATAGCCTGAGTCTATGTATCAGCAAGGGAAATGTGTTTATTTACGTGGACTGGTAGAAGAGTTGATAGAAGAACAAGGTCAGTGTTTTGTATGGTTGTATATTACGCACATAACCTGATATCCAAAAATAGAACCTCATCCAGATAAATTATCTCAAAAGCACTTAGACCGCATTATCGTGGCCAGACTATCTTTGGATCCTAATGAACTTCACGAAGAGCTCCCAAAGGATATTACAGATACTCTAAACATCACACACTTTGACTATCTTTTAAACTGTTGGAAACAAGCTTATGACATTCGCAAAAATACACTGATCCGAAGCAAGGTAATGTTTATTTTTCTGGATGTGTCGATATTAACAATAGATTACTAGGGCTTAGAAAAGGCCGTATTAGATCAGAGATTAAGTGTCTTAGATAGTGTACGACAACTTGTTATATCCTATTCTGGACTTGTTATTCAAATGCCAGATATGTTTCCTCAAATACAAAGGTAATTTCTGAATGAACATTTGGTATAACGTGAGCTAAATATCTCTCTTTAAACTGTAGTCATAACCTTGGTCCTGCTCAGCTTATACCTAGAATTAAAGCTGGACTAGATACAGCTGACGGTTTGCCTTCAGAATATATTAATGAGTTAGCAGTACGGTTCAAGGAAGATGGCCTTGATTTGGTAAGTCAGCCAACAAAAACAGAAAAAGCCAGTGTTGACCTGAAACTAGATTCTTGGACCCGCCTTGACTAGCATTTCCACTGAAATAGGCCGATGCACCATCATTGACAATTATAAAACTTTGATCCAAGCAATAACTTGTTTAAGCGAAAATAAGATCATTGCCACCATGGTAAGATCAAAGATAACCATGTAAAAAGTATTTACTTACATTCGAAGGGGGGCAAGAATAGATTACTTGTTTACCCGAGTTCAAACCTGAAAATGTCACGGCAAAAAACATTGAAGATCTTTCGCTCCTCGGCCCTTACTTTAAACTGAGCGCATATCCTGATCCAACAGTAAACGTAACAATGTTGATTGATATCTCGTTCACTTATCCTTTTCTTAGAACAAAGTAGCCGAGACTTATTTTCAGAATGCAGAAAATAGAAACTCAGCGGACTTAGAATCATGCAAAAACGGCCTTCGCGGCAGTGTATTGAACATTCAGGCAAGTCTCTCTTCTTTTTTTTTTTTTTTGGTAAAGGCATGGCTCACACCATTATAGAAAATCTTGTTTAATGTATGCAACTCTATCGTGAGAGCAAATCCTGAAGCAAGAGACAGACTCTTGGATTATTTTAGCTATGCTATTCAGCTCAATGAAAAGAGGGCTCAGATGCAAGTGGACCCTCAAACGGTTGCATCAGACGGATTTATGCACAACATCACGGGCGTTCTCCTGATGTTTTCTGATCCATTTTTGGACGTGAGAGCATCAAAGATCGACAAGATTGACTCTACTTATTTCCGCACAAGCAAGCGAATAAATGTAGCCGAAGATACTAAAATCAATGCTACAAAGGAACAGTCTGATGCTTACTATGGAGAACAACAAGAGCTGAAAAGTATAGGAATAGGTTAATGAGGATAGGCTGGTATTAACCTTACTGATATAGATCACAACTTTATTACCGAATGCTTCTTTTTAACGCTTGCCTTTATGCACTATGGACCTATTCGTGCCATAGTGAACTATGGTGAATTTATTCGAGAGTTTGGAGAGATTAAGAAGCAGGCAGAAAGAGCTCAACAGGAGGCCTTACGCGCAGCTAATGTATGTGTATATAATATAATTTGTTCAACGAAGCTAAGCATATCTTTGTAGACTCCTCAGGCAATGCTGGCAGATTTCGTTTCTAAAAGAATGAAGGTAAACATATATAAATTGTCGTATCTCTTTCGGGACGCTTGACATATGTGCTTATAGGCAAAACTGGAGCAAATGACGGCTTATCGCTTAGGTTATGAAACCATGATCTTGGACCCTTCCTTCCTCGCTGAAACCATCAGATTTTATGACTTGGTGATGGCATGGTTGATTCGTATAGTTGATCCTAAGCATAAACATCCCTGGGAAACTGTCCATTTGCCTCTACCAGAACAAGTGCCCGAAAACTTTGCTATGCTCCCAGAATGGATTATTGAAGACATTGTTGAACTTTATATCTTTATCGGAAAGTAAGTTGTTCTATATAAAAAAAGCGTCATCTAAACCAATTTATCTAGGCATGGTTATGAAACGCAGGTTATGCATCAATGCCCTCACGATCAGTTGGCTGCATTCATCCTTACTTTTCTAAGAAATACGAAGTATGTCAAAAACCCATACTTGAAAGCTAAGCTAGTGGAGGTAAATGCGTAATAACACAGAATAAGCAATACAATACTCATTGTTCACATTAGGTTCTATTCTTCTTCACCTTCCCTATTGCCCGTGGGATCCCTGGCGAACTAGAAGCCATATTAAACTCTCATCCATTGTCTCTAGAGCACCTTGTACCCTCTCTGATGAACTTTTATGTCGGTAAGTATCTTAAAAAAACAACAACAACATTCTTCTTTGTTCACCTCTTCAATTACAGAGGTGGAGCAGACTGGGGCTAGTTCACAGTTTTATGACAAATTCAACATTCGTTATAATATCAGTCATATCATGAAGACTCTCTGGAATCACCCAGCCCATCGCGCAAAATTGAGAGAGGCAAGCAAGTAAGCAGGGACAAACATCAGTTCATGAGCTTTACGACTCAACTCTTTTATCTAGAAATTCAGATACATTTACACGTTTTGTCAATATGTTGATGAGCGATGTGACGTATCTTATGGACGAAAGTCTAAGCAAACTAGCAGAGATTCATCAGATTCAAACAGAGATGAGTAACCAAGCCGCTTGGGAAGCACAGACACCTGTAAGACATTTTGAACATGAGTGTACATTCATATGTTGACTATTCATCTTTTTTTTGAAAATTTAGCAATATCGTCAAGAACGCGAAGGCAATCTTAGATCACTTGAAAGACAAGCACAATCCTATGTTGCCTTGGGTAACGAGACGGTGCATATGCTTAATTATATGACAGCCGAAGTTGTTCAGCCCTTCTTAGTCAATGAGATCGTTGACCGTTTGGCAGCCATGTTGGACTATAACCTCGTTCAGTTAGTAGGACCCAAATGCACTGAGCTAAAGGTCAAGAACCCGGAAAGATATCACTTCAATCCACGTAAACTGCTGTCAGAGATCATCGACATTTACCTTCACCTAAACACGGACATTTTTGTCGAAGCCGTCGCACGAGATGGTCGGTCTTACAAGAAGGAGTATTTCTCTAGAGCAGCATCCATCTTACAGAAGCACGGTTTAAAGCCCTTGGATGACATTCATGCGCTTGAGCAGTTTGTCAACCGAGTAGAACGAGCTGTACAGACTGGAGTTGAGGAAGAAGAAGAAATGGGCGAAGTCCCTGACGAGTTTTTGGATCCTATTTTCTTTACTTTAATGGAAGATCCTGTCTTACTGCCTACATCCAACGTGATTGTCGATCGTAGTACTATTCGTGCTCATCTGCTCGGCGATACCCGTGATCCTTTCAACCGTATGCCATTGTCGATGGATATGGTCCAACCAGGTAATTTATTTATAATACAAGTTATTGCTCAATATGCTGATTTTTGTTTTGTTATAGCAACTGAGTTAAAGGAAAAAATTGCTTCTTGGAAAGGCGAGCAAAAGAGTAAAAGAGGAGAAAAAATGGACACAAGCGCATAATGTTGAATATACATAAATTGTCTGAATATTTTTTTTTTTTCTTTATTCGTCGTCACTGTCTTCTTTACTGCTGTCAGAATCGCTATCTGAGTCGTCTTTATTTAAAACTTGAATTGTTGGCTTTTTATCACATCCAGTATCAGTTGGTAATTTTATTGATTCCTCTTGTTCTTCTTCGTTATCAGATCCATCGTCTTTATTCGTCAAATCATAGACTCCTAAGCCCAGATTCTGCAGACATGGTTAGTCTAAAGGGCTGTGTTTATTAAGCAAAAAAAATACAAACCATTTCTATATATTGTTCTTCGTCTTCGTTGACATTTTCAATATTTAGTTCTGAGGTGTCTTTTGTCAGTAACTGCTGGTTTGCTTGTTGGATCTGTGGTAGAAAAGCTTGTACTCTTGATAAAACTATAGAGAGATCTGAGTTACCAAAAAATCTTTTTCTCTTTTTTTTTTTTTTTTTAACTTTACCATCAAGAGTCGAAGAAGGGTTTGTTGATCCATTAGAATTATTGTCGTTGTTCAACATGTCGAAAAGATTTAAAGGTTGCTTTGACATTTTTAAAGAAAAGAAAAAAAAAATAATAAAGAGGGCATAAAATCAGGACTGTCTATGACGGAATTAATATTAAACAAGTTGCTTTAAAACATCAAAACATGC